AAGTATTCCTATTTTATTACTTGTCTGACTCCTTAAATAATACTTTCGAGATGGTACGTGTCAAAGGAAATGTCTCATTTGTACCATAACAAGTGCCGTTCCAATCATCAACGTTTAAAGATAGAATCATGGCTCCCTTAAAACCATTGGTACGAATCCACATACTCTACAATGCAAACGTTTCAATTGAGCTTATATCATTATATGTTACATTACACATTACAGATATAGATTTTACAAATCTGCTGAATGCTTTATGTTGTGTTAGCAATATAAAACGCGTTACCTTGTAAGAAACGCTCTCCTCATTGTCGTAAGATATCCATTCCCTGTTTTTGAACGCATATGGCACACGACTTTCTTTATTAAAAACACTCTCAGCTCCGGATTTTAAAAATTGACAAATCGTAGGATAAGACACAAAGCCTTTTACGCCAAGCTTTCCGAATCCGCTAGCCGGCGCTTGTAAACCATGATTCACTGGATTGTCCAATTTGTATGTGTGACCATAAGCCGGTATACCAATAACAATCTTCTCACGTGGCATTCCCTTTGCTATCCAGTATTGAGCAGAGAAATTCACATTTAATGTGGATAAATAGCCTGCCTCGTGGAGCATTCAGATCTGTTACCGGGAAGTACCAAACGTAAAAATGATAATCATATGACATAAGATTTATAAAGTCAATGTGCCTGAAAAATATGACACAATTTGTAGTATTATTTTATGATATTCCATTATTATCATATTCTTGTATAGTACATACTCTGCCATTTCAGGAATACTGTAACTCTGGTCCACAATGGCCTGTGGCGCTGCAACTGCTACTGTTAAAATCAATTTTTGTCCACTACGATCAAATTCTTTTCGTAATTCTTGTAATAATTGCGCAAAGTGTATTTTTTCACGCTCATCCGCCCCTAACCAGGCTGGAAACTCCCAGTCAACGTCAAAACCGTCCAAATGGAAGGTTTTGGTAATGTTTAATACTGACTGGATAAATCTGAACATAGGGATATGTTTATAATATTTGTATATCTAGAATATGTATCACACATAGGAATGGAAAGCAGCATGATGAACATACTTTTTTCTATTTGCGTGATTTTTTACCATCTCGGAGAAACCATTATGGAGCTCATTGTTTCCACCGGCACTGATCATGACCTTCAAGTTAGGTTCAAGATTCTTTAAAGCAACTACTCGCTCATAAACCGGTGCATCGTCGCCTATGTCGAGCGTATTGTTCACCACGCCCGCAAAACCCACGATAATATGCGTACAAATATGAGGGTCAATGTGCGACGGACTGAGCTCCCACGACGTGTTCAGGTCCCCCGGTATTGTATAGTAGCACACGAGGACCTGGCTAAACATAGAATCAATTTCAAATAACATATACTCAGATTGTTGGATAGTCAATATGTAAAAATCAGATTGTATAGGGTCTGTTACAAATTTTGATCAACAGAATGCTAGCAGATTTTGATTTTATATACATACATATATATATATATATATATATATATATATCCCATTTGAATAGATATATTTAAGGGGATGTATCTTACCCATTTTTACAAATGAGTTAATAATGTACTTTAAAAATAAACTATGTGAAAAAGTTGTATAATATTTAAAACATTTTATTTTTAAACACATTTTTATGTAATACATTGTTATCAGATTGGAGGACTTGAGTTATAATATTTAGTTCCGCATGCATTATTGTCTGCCCAAGGATATGACAATAATGCATGCGGAAGTAAATAACATGCTCAAATCTTCCAATCTGATCATAAAATGTGTGGTTCGTCATCGTTCTCTCCGTGGACAAGGTATAATTTATTTCCTTTGTTATTTTCTATTGTTGTAATATTAGAATTTAAAAAATACTGACAAAAATCTCAATTTTTTGTATAAGTGTATTTATAAGAGTATTTAAAATTATTTATGCAGAAAAACTCAGTGGAATAATTAAAGATGTATTACACAAAAATTTTAAAATAATGGAAAAATTAGATTATAGATTATTCTAAATCGCATTTAAAAGTAAAAATTCAGGCGATTTAGGACTTGGATAAAACATTATTTTAATAAAAACTAATATTTTTTACCTATAACAGAAATAAATAAACTTTGTTTATTTATTTATTTATTTCCATTAGAATAACTAATCTGTGTATCATAATGAAATTTTATATAAATCATATTTTGCATGCTTAAAGTACTCATAAAAAAAAATGAAACTGATAATATGATCATAATTGAATGTTATATATATTTGAAAGGGTGCTGTTCCATGGACACGGAAAATGGAATCAGAAAACGGAATTGGAAAAGTGAAATAGTAGGTTCAACCAATCAGCTCCGTTCTAATTTTAAATATCCTGGCTCCTCACGGGGGCATATTTCTCAGAAATGTAAAATAATGACAAAAAACTTGGGATATTTATTAGTAAGACAAAAAACATCCTTAATAATTTCTGCTGTCAAATAGGGATACGAATCAATTAATGCTGCAAATGCTTCGTTGATTAATTAGAAGAAAGAATTTTACAAAGTGACAAATCAAAGAATATTTTAAAGCATTTGCAGCATCAAATGGATCATATTCCATGTTCACAAATTGCTTGCAGAACATAATTTCAACACAATGATGCAGTATTGATGCAGTATTCTGAATGATAAACTGCTAGCACAATGTTAATACTCTGTTTACTAAATAAATATAAATTTAAAATGGATAAAAAAAAATCATATCTGTTCAGAGAGTCTCTTACCCGGTTGTATCGTGGCGGTGTTGTTCCGATGCGCTGACACTTGTGTTCCTGTCCGCATTCTGATTCTCCTTCGTCGACTCGGCGTACATCCGAGCCCGACGTAGCCACGTAGCAATCTTGGCATCGTCAATGTGTTCCTCGACGAATTTGTTGGTCCTTGGAGATTTTAGTAGGAGTATGCCGAACCAAGCGCGCGTGATAAACAACACCCCGACAATCAGGAATGACAAAGTGAGGCAAACGACCTGCGTTCTCCAGCGTGGTCTGAAAGTAGTCTTTGTTTCAGATTATCGTATTCAATCTACATATAAGACAATCGGCTATGGAAAACTTGTCAGTCTAGTCGCGTTTATACAAGTAATGACAAATATGACCTTTCGCATTGAGAGGCGGGGAAGTTCAAAAGCCAGCGATGACGTACTGCTTGTCGTAGCGGGAAAAATCGATACAAATTTCCTTTATCTCCCCCTCCCTCTCTCCCTCTCTCTCGCATGTATTAATTATAAAATGATTATAAAAGCAGCTCCGAAGGGCGACGCATTCGCGTTCCGAGCGCTTTCATTTCGCAGAGATTTTCGATGTACTCACTGTCGTATGTTGGTTAGTAATTCATACTTGGCCTGCGGCACAGGTATTTGGTTAACCATTGAATGACTTATTATTTTTACTGCACTATCGAGCGCTCACGCCGAATTACTTTCCGCGCGAGAAAAGAAGACAAGAAGAAGAGAATTCTCGAGGACCAAGTGTCGTAGTTGTCAGCTCGCGCGGCAATCCTTATCTGACGACTTCGATGGCTGGGGGACGCTTATAATGCTGTGCGTGATGCTAATCGCGAGAAACGCGACGTTCGCGCGTACTCGCGTGATACACGCGTCGCGGAGAATATGTTGGCGTCGTCGGCGATGGTTGCACGACGATGTTTACAATCAGTTTACAATTGCATAAGCGCGGAATGGGCGTGTTCCGTTCCGTCGCGAGTTAAATGGGCCACGACGATATATATGCGCGCGTACATCGCACGGTACGACGGCGCGAAATGTTTTTGTTATTTTTCTTTTTTTTTTGTATTTTGTTACCGCTGTCGATTGGTTCGGAAATGCCGTCCCAGAGAGCGAAAATATCTAGGAGCGGTGCGAGTGCTTTTTTTATAAAGTTGTTATAATAATAGAAACAAATATTTTTACAGGAACTAATTATTTATTATAAGAAGAGAGAAAAAGAAAGAATGTTAATTTTTAAAAAGATCACGATTCCGGTTTTCGTTCATGCTTGAACAAGATTATGATTTAAAAAAAGAAACAAACGGAACCATCTGTTTCTATAATATATTCGAACTAATGTACTTTGGAATTTAAAGTAAAATAGATCCTATAGATTTATATTTGATATTTGGCGAAAGTGAGAGAAAGTAGTATAGTGCAAGAATAAAAAAACAAACTTTGTATCTGTTTTTTAAGAAATAATTCAATAGGATAAAACAATCAGACAAAGATAAAAGGGCAAGAATCACCCTTGAAAAGCGTGGTAAATGAGTAAAGGGCTTTTTGAACATTTTGGATTTATATTAATCATAAATTGATTCACTTTCTGTATACGCCTTGCTTTCTTTTAGAAAACGATCATTTTTATAAATTAAAATTACTTTTATGATGAGATCTGATATATTGATATATATTTATACATGTATATATATATATTACATTTTAATCGGTTGTTGATTAAATTAGTTGAAAATAAGTCACAAAATATACATTGTCATTGTGTGTAACAATTATATATTACATATATATCGTATATATTATATAATAGCACCAGTTTCCAGAAAAATCATTACTTTTGAATTAATATATAGATATTAACTTATAAACATATATATATATTTTTTATTAAGATATCAAAGATAAAAAAGTAGACTAGAATACAAAAAGATATAATAAAGTATTGGTCACAAACAACATAAACACAACACGTGTTTAAATCAGAGAGCTGGCTTGCTTACTGAGCGATTATACATAATTGATTTTTACTTGCTGTGATACAAATTTTTTTTAGAATTCTTCATATAATTTTGAAAAAATTTCTAATTTTTTTAAAATTTTAGAATTTTCGTATTAATTTTATAACTTTAGAAAATTTTTCAGATTTTTTGTATAAATTGAAATACATTTTTTTAATGGTTTTTAAAAATTTTAATTGAATACTTTGAACCGATCTTTGTATATTCCTTTAAAATCTGAAAAAATTCTTAAAAACATTGAGAATTTTTGTCAACAGTCCAATCAATCATGTTCAATCACTCAGTAAAACGGCTGGCAGTTTTATCTGATATGAACGCGGTCATTGTTGTTTTTTTTTTTATGTATATGCTTCAATCAATTGGATCAACCTTATTTATGAAATTAACATAAAACTCACATAAGAAATTTGTAATACTTATAAAGTAAATACTTAAGTTTGGAATAGTATTCAGTTAAGTCAGGAATAGTATTCAGTTCCATCCAGTTATTTATATCGATGAACAAATCTGGCAACGCATCATAATTCGTATATTAGCCGGATAACAGAACTTCATCTTCAGATCTCGATAAGCGCCGATAACGTTCCTGCGTTACTAAATATACAGATAAGCCTCCAAACAATATGAGCAGCAATCCTATAAAGTTTATTAGTATTCCTTCACTGACGAAGGCTGAATATTTATTTCTGAAATTTCAAATAGAAATATGTATTTTTTGATTACTCATTATATACAAACAGTCTGTCACTACTAACTGTAATACAAAGAATGCTTTCTCGTTAAGTCCCAACAAGCACGAAGCAATTGCGCTCACAAAGGCTGCAATGCCAAAAAATACATGCAATGGCATATAAGAAGCCCGTAATGGAGTTTGCAATCCAGGATAAAGGAAGGAAATACATCCAGCGACCCACTGTAAACAAAGATACATTGACACATATATCTAAGAATGCAAGATTGTCAGGTAAGTTTCATAGATTTACCTGACAGCAGAATAATATTACGGTAGTCAATCCAACCCAACTATGTAGGGAATACATATTTGGTATAGGAGTCGGAGCAAGATTGTGACTGTCGAAGACAGCTACTAAAGCGATCACCACTAACAATATAATAAATATCATCATTCCTGCATGAGTTAACTTTAATCGCCGCTTGCGAACATTTCTTTGCGTTCTATAGAGAAGCATGGCTACAAATACAAAATAGATTCGTAAATCATATGTATACGAACATATATGTGATGCAGGAAACTTTTTACTTTTATATTGTACCATTGGCATATAAAAATACAAGCCCTATAGTCATTAATAAAGGGTGCCAGTTAAATTCCAGTTTTGGATTAGATCTCCATGAGAAACCTTCTCTATAATATCCTGTCCACACAGCCATCAAGATTATAAGAAGCACGCCACATCCCTCAGTAAGACTGAGAAGGGGAATGAAACCTTCCAGAGAGTGAATTTGAGGTGACTCTCTTATTTGCTCCATATCTAAAAATGTTTCATGTCTCATTATATGACAAAAATATTGATAAGTGTTAATAAATACAAAAAAAATATTGATTAATATTGATGAATATAACATGTAAAATAATATATAAAATGAATCTTACAATATAAAGACAAACATATGTTAAGTTTATTCTATAAATATCTTACATTATATAAAGCTAACTTGCTGTGTTGATAGAAACATAATCCACATCTCAAAATTAGCAATTTTTCAATAGAACATTTTTTTTAAATTCTGAATTAGAACAATGTTTAATTAGGATAATAAACATACAAGTTTTATAACTTCACTTTTTTTCTACGTTATATTTTCAATTATGATGTAAACATTTTTTAGAACTACATCATGAGTTTTCAAAATTCATACACTCCAGTCATAATATAATTCACATTTCTTATATTAAATTGTGAAACTTTTTTGAATAAATAAATGAACAACAACTGTGTTGTTCTTCAACAAAAATTAGTTTTCAGTCGATTTCATTATCTCGAAAATGCTAATTTTGTATTTATGTCAACTTTCTATCATCGCAGCAATTTTATCAAATTTCTGACTGTTGTACACATACCTACACATCTTACATATTCATACGGATAATTCGACACTTGCATTTTATGTATAAAATCCAAATAATAACGATGAGTTTTTCTTTATATAGACTATAGGAGCAACAGGTGAAAAACAGAAGACAAACAAAAGACAGATGATAGAAGATATTTTACAGATAAAAGATACAGTTTTTACACATACCAAAACAAAAAAAATATAAACAAAATACGTACGAATCACCGTCTGTAAGAATGTTAATAGTTAATAGTTTACACATTTAAACGATATCGATTAAGGCTGCATTTATAAAATAATAACAAAATAAATTAATTTTCACGTTAAATTCCATACGTGTAGATCGCCTATAAATACAAGCGTATCATATATGTTTCAGAAGCAGTGTTATTAGATGACAGTGTACATTTCGTCGCTGAATGATATGGAGAAACAGAAATTACTCAAATAACAGCTGTTACTTTTATCTCTCAAATAGACCAACACTTATCAGTATTAAATACTTAACGGCGCGATGCGATAATCGCCACATTCGATATAAGGGAAGCTTTCAACAAACGAAACAAGCCGTATATCGCACGTACTTACTCCTGGTGCAACTCTTGTAAAATAATACTTGCCGGATAAAATCAACAAGTATCACGAGACCTATCTATGCGTTCACATCATGTGACGTCATGCAATAGAGAATATTGATTTTTTCTTCGAGATAAGAGAAGGCTCTTACCTGACACCTCTCACCTATACAGGTGCGTTCAGGAATACGCTCAGCTGTGTGCTATAAAGCTTTGTTCTTTTTCCACCTCAAGTTCTGGGAGTCGAGTGTGTGTTTTGAAATGAGATAAAAATTACAAAAATGAGCAAATTCACCAAGTGTTGACCAATTGAATTATGAATTTCCTAGTAAATTTGCTCATTTTTGTAATTTTCATTTCGAGATACACAATCGACCTCTCGAACTGGGCTGCGTTCGAAAATATTGGGTCATCTAAAAAATATTCGCGGTACTTTGTTACTAGATATATGACCATCAACACACATCTAGTGACAAAAAACCGCGGATACTTTTTAGATGACCCATATTACCCCGGGCTAATCTACTTGATGCTATAAATGCTTCGAAGCATTTTTTGATTGGTCAATTAATAAAATTCTTTCTTCCGATTGGTCAATCAAAGGGTCAGTTTCACCAACGCCAGTTATTTTATCCGTCAATTACTTTGAGTATTGTCAACTGCTAAACTGAAAACTCATCATCTCTAATCTAATTTCAAAAGTGTATTTGTAAAAAATATATTTACATTTGTAACATAATAATGTTTTATTTATTATCTCCACACAACACTTTTTCTTTACTATTACTGACAAGAATAAGAAAGACAGATTTTTAAGTCTCGGCCATTCTGGTGATGAAGTTAATCAACTAGCCCAAAAGTTTCAAAGCATTTGTAAGACCGGAATCAGACTATGCATTGGAGATTGAGATTAAAAATTAAAGATTGAAATTTCACCAATGAAGATAAAGAAATTTTCGCTCCTTTTGTTTTGATTGATTAAACTTCAATCTTTCAATCTCATTCTTCAATGCGTAGTTTGATTCCAGCCTAACATCAAATAGACTGCAACAGTGCAACCTCTCAAAGAGAAATAGAAAAGAGTGTATCAATAGTGGGGGAAGTTAAATTCACGGATGTACGTCCACTTTTTATGCTAGTATTAGTCACTTTTTTTGTCTGCTTGCTTAGAATCAAACAGTCCCTCCTGTTTCTCTTTACTTTTTGAGTGCTTCCGTGTATCAGAGAGAATCAAGGGAAAGTGGAACGAATTCAACCGAAAGCTGCCATTTTTAGTTTATCGTTGGAGTAAATAAGAGTGAAATCATTATAATGCGGAAAACGACTGTGGAATAGAGAATGCGTCCAATCAGCTAGAAGCAACCAATCAGCGTTATTCTGCGTTATTCTAAATAGCGCTAATTGGTTGTTTCAATGACGCATTCTCTATTCCGCATCGTGTGATTTCACCCTTATTCACTCCAACGATAAACTAAAAATGGAACTAAGGAATATGATGGAACATACAGTGATGCATACATTAGCATTGTACCGCATTATAGTATGTACATACACACCATGCACATTGCAGAAGTGCACAATAAATGGCGGAATCAGAGAACACTCTTCACTACACTCTCCCTTGATTCTCTCTGACTTGTTGACCACAAGTGCGTTCTCTCATTTTGCACTTGCGTGTAAAGTGTATCTGTTAAAGAAGGGATCGAAAGCACGAAGAAGTTCGGCTAACCTGGCTAAAATCTGCGGCACACATGATGCTTATTTTCCTGCTGGATTAATGACTACACCCTAAAAAAAAACATGCTTTTTTTTTTAGTTGCACGCACGCGTATATGTACATTTTTTTGTATCAATAATAATGCGATATTAATATGAAAAATATAATTTTGATGAAATAACATTATAGAAAAAAGAAAAGTAAAAGTGTGTCTTTTCAATTATTCTTCTTTCTCAAAAATGGCGCTTGTTTAATCTGTAGTAAATAAGTAGTGTATTCATAAAATATGACTATAGCTATATATACAGCATGTATTTAGGATAAATTATTTTTTAATAAAAGAAAAACAAGTACAGGATTCTTAATGTCAAATACAATATAACAATTAGAAAGATAATATAAGAGTCAGCTACAATAATCATATAATATTACAAAAGTAATACATAAAATATAAATAATAATGATTACATGTTTTAGTTTTCTGATTGAGTCATCTTCAGATATTCGATTTAATGCAGTATTATAGTTAGAATGCGGAACGACATAATATAATTGGATACTAACATACAACTAAATATTTAATTGTTGTATATTAGTATCCGATTATATTGTCATTCCTCATTATGATTATAATACTGTGTTGTAGCTGACTCTTATGCCCTTTCTAATTATTATATTGTATTTTTAATATAAATTGTTGTGTGAATTATCGTTGCTATATGTACATATAATAAAATATTATTTCAAAAATTATCAATAAAATCATAATTTAGGAATTGTAATACAAATTTATACAAGCAAAACAGCATTGATACATCCATCATTCTCAGGATTATTCGTAACTTGAGCAAATTTTCCCCATACAACTTTACCCGATTGTGTTACAAGACCTAATTCTGAAATATTCACTTCAATAATAGTTCCCTTGGTAATAACACCTAAATTTGTGTACATAGGAGAACTTGGATTTTTTTTAACGCCAATAATCGGCAGCGAGAAAGTTGCCTTGAGCTCAGGATGAGTTACATGTGCGGTTTTGAATCTTAATGCCATCGGTCTGATGAATCTTTCAAATTTCGGCGGTTTCCTTGTAAAATTCTCTCCTACAAAGGTCACTTTAGTCACCATCCGTTTCCATGATTTCCGTTTCGTCTTTCCGCTTCTCACTACTTTGAAAACTTCACTCTCTGATTGTGCTCTAACTTTAGGTATTGGAACATCCCACTTGCCAACTTTCTCTTTTCGTTTCTGTTTTATCATGTTTGACAGCACTTTCGCGCGTTTTGTAACATCACGATCCAGCAGATATACAGGCAATGCTCCTTCCGGCAACTTGTCAGACTTCACCTTTACTTTCTTCTCTTCATGAGCTCTAATCTTCTTTTTTATTTGAATCTTCTCGTTGCGTCGCTCTTTGTTGAACATTTTAGCTTTTAAACCACGCAAAGTACGGGCTCGCTCTGCTCGTTTGTGAGGAGCACGAGCCTCTCTCTTTCTCTTTCTTTCTTCATAGTCCAAACGGCGACCATGCAGCTTACGGTGCCTCTCAATATATTCGTTCTGTGGCATTTTTCTATATGAATTTTTATACTCACATAGAATTAATTCTTTCTGAAAAAGAAGTTATTGAATAATTTTTAATATATTTTATTAGCATATTAAAATTAATATAATTTTGTAATTTTCTACAATAGTACTGCGTATATATTATATTTGTCATATTTAATATTATTACAGAGAAAATAATATTAAATATCTAGGAAATAATTTCACATGTATAATATTAACCTAAACAAATATTTGTTTAATTGTCTTTACCGAAGCAGTTAACGCGATAAATTATAATCGCTTGAAGTCAAGATAACATTGGTACAACCGGGATTAATTCATCAAAAAATTGCATCAAAATTTACCTCTGATTACGCTGTAGGAACGAAAATATGACGAAAACACGAGATGAAGATGGAACTATCATTCGACCATGATAATTAGAGAGAAACTTCAGACGTCCTGAGACTCGCAAAATGCTGCCGCACACTACTGCCCCCTGACAAAGTGGATCCAAACTACATAGCAAGATCCATTTTAAGGAAGGTACAGATCCACTTTTCAGGGTATTAATCATGAAACTTTTTTCCTAGGATGAAAAGTGAAAAATTTTTCAATTTTTATTTTTACCTATATCTATATTTATTTTCTTTTTAATTTCAACAATATAAGGTATTAACAAATTAAATTTCTTATATTACAATACATATCAGCTTTGAATCCTGAAAGCTCTGCTTGGTTGTACGTGGCGATACAAAGCAGAGTTCTCATTGGATATCGCTCGTCGCTCATCTCTCATCGCATCCACTGTGCAATATGCATTAAGGTCGGAATTCAGTCAATTCTTATTTTAAGACCACTTAAGTAATGTCCTAAGATGCTAATACGACTGTCCGATTAGTTCATGTCATCTTAAGACGATCTTAAATATAAGATCTGACTATGAATACAGAGAGAAACCTGAATCTCTATTAATTTGATAGATTTTAATTATTTCAGCAATTTATTTCCATCAGGAGCACCATAAAAAGAAAAAATGGATATTGTTGTGTAGTTTCATTTCTTCAGAGGACAGTAGTGTGCGGCGACATTTTGTGGTTACAGGAAAAACTCTCATGTCATCTCTCAGATTTCTCTCTGGTATACACACACACACACACACACACACACACACACACACACACACACACACACACACACACACACACACACACGCACGCACACGTACACACACATACGTACATACAAATATGTACATTAAGGGCAGAAATAAAAAATAATTTTTTAAAATTGTTTCGTATTTTTTATTAAATTAAAAATGTACATTATGCTTGATCACCAGTCGGCATTGACTTTATAATGTCAGAATTGCCAGGATCTGTGATCGAAAGCGTACAAACACGGAAATATTTACCGCAGGCTGTACCTAGCTCGATATTATTCCCGGTATAATGATGTACACCAGTCTTTGCCAACATCGCGTAGTATTCGATCTCGGATTTCCTGTTAAATCCAAACAAATCATGTTTTAAATGTTGAAGAATTATAATTCAATACTCCCTGCACTTACAAGCAGGGGCAGGAGACTACTCCATAGTACTCCTATTTATGATTTATAATACACAAATTGACAGTCATATCAATATTATCAATCTCTTTTAATATATAATTTTAATGTAGATTACTCATTTAATTGATACTTTACTAATTCTAAAATATAGAAAGTTTATATTTATAAATTCACAAACTTTATCCATTTAATAGCGTTTTCCACTGGGAGAACTAATGCAACACTTCCGTATGCTAAATGCAATTGTATTTCCACTATTAAAACTAGTTCGGGTATTTTCTATGACTACGTTTATATGGCTTTATTTCGATTTACGCTGAAGTTATAATATCGATATTAGGAAACTAGTCGATTACATAGCGTTTTTTATTCGAGCAAGTTTATATTGATTTGGGTTGGATAATGTTCTACTACTGATTGATGTTACATGTTGTATCAATAGGAAGGTATCCAATATCATTAATCCAACCCAGATTGGTGCAAACCCGCTCGGGCCAAATACGCCAACAGTCATTCCATTCTTCAGAGGAATAGCTATGATTGACCAGTTTCATAACATTAATGTTATAACTTCAACATAAATCAAGCCATGTAAATGTAGTCAGTGTTTAATGTTTCATTGACAAACTGATGCAAAAAGTTGTATTGAGATAAACTTTTTCTCTAGTGTCTTTAAAGACAGTAAAGACCAATCCAAGTTGAAATTGATTGAAATCAAGGCTGTGTTTAAGCTTTGAGATGATATTATATTATGTTAAAGTAAAATATAATACAATATTATATTATTCTAATTAATTCCATAACAATATTATTTTTAGTTCCAATAAATGTATAATAGTAATATCTATGCAATAATATAAATATTTTGAGTTAAAAAATTTTGAAATTCAAGAAAAATTAATAAATTTTTTGTAAGAAATAAATAAATCAGATATTATAAAATAAGTAATTCAGTGATGTGTTCCACTGAATCATACTAAACCTACAATATTACTATACTAGCTATATCTATACTATAGATTTCATTGAAATCTAGCACGGCATTGGTGCTGTATCAGTTTTCTGAGTGGAAAACGCTATAAGAGGCTTCATTAAACATGTCAATTTGTTGATACAAAAGGAGTGCTACTTCTCAGTCTCACCTCAGTGGTGGTGTATTACTAGCAATGATGACCAATTTGGCTTTGCCTTGACGAAGGGACTTCAGAGTCTGCTTATAACCAAGGACATATTTACCAGATTTCATGACGAGAGCTAATCTGGTATTGATGCTCTCCTGAGCCTTTTTCTATAGAATTCAGTAATAAAATTTTTTATTAAATATGCTTAACATTACAAAAGTAACAAGAAATTACAAAAAATTGTTGATTAAAATATATTTACATTATCTGGAAAGGGTAATTATTTAGAATTGTGATATAATAATGTTTGTTTAATATTCAGATCATCTTTCCCTCTCATCGCTCATGGATTTACAACTTTCGCATATAGCAAGAGCAGAGAAGACTTTCGTTTTCAGTGAAACACTCGAATGAGTCTAATTTCATTAAAATCGGAGGCGAGGTAGCGATTCTAAATAAATACTGACCAAAGTACGTGTAAATAGCGCTGCATTATGCTGATACTGCAATGAGTCGGTAGTCGAAAGTCGTAGTCTTAATCGGTGAAGTTGGCCTTAGTCGTACAATTGGTCAACTTCACCGATAAGACTTGGAACTACCGATTACCAACTTATTATAGAAAAGCGTTAAGCCTGCGACAGATTTCCTAACCTCAATAATCAACTTCAATGTTTAATATCTCAGTTCGCGAAGCCGGTCTCTACGTTTTTCTGCTGAATTCTTTCGTTTTGATTAAAAACGTGTCGAATGAGTTTATTTAATTTCATTAAAATCGAAGGTGAGAGAGAGCTATTCTAAATAATTATGCTGGAAAGTACTAAACTTTTTTTATCTTCAATATTAGACATAAGTTTAGAAAAAACAATGTGAATGCTGAAATAGCTAATTTATTCCAGATTGCTGTGTTTTGCATGAGATTTGTTTCCATTTTTCATTTAACTTCGAAATAATCACAAATATGATTTGCACAGGTAATAATAATTGTAATAGTAATATAAGATCTATTAATAATATTATAATATAATTAATAAATATTTATTGAAAAGACCTTAAAAACTTTGTTAAAGAATATTTATGAACGAGCACGTGGCATTGCTAATTACCTGTTTTTTCTGAGCCACCATTTTTACAATTAGCGGTTCTTCTCACAGCTGTAATAATATTCATAATTATTAATTTTATGTATATTTAAATAATTACATATATACAAAACAATATATATTTAAACAATATACATTTGAAATTCAACATCACATACCTTCCACGAGGAACCACAACGAAAGAAAGAGAGAATGGAGAGAAGTAGAAACGAAGTGATAAAAGAGCTCGTGAACAATGTCATCAAAAGGTTAGTAATTTTAGGCTGCATTTTCATGCTAACGCTCGAGCGTCAAAATAAGTCACGTGACCCAAATTGATGCTTGGTATTCGTCAATTTTGAACACGTGACCTGTTTTGGTGCTCGAATCGAGCGTCAGCATGAAAATGCATCCTTCAGGTGCCTTTTCATGCTGATGCTCGACGCTCATTTTCGGCGTCAAAACCCTTAGGATGAAATCACACGGAAAACAATTGCGGAATAGAGAAAACGTCATAGAAGCAACCAATCAGCGTTATTCTGCATCGTTCCGAATAGCGCTGATTGGTTACTTTTATGACACATTCTCTATTCCGCACCACCTCTATTCTCAGTCGTTTTCTGCACCGTGTGATTTCACCCTTAGAATCTTGCCACGGCTATGCTGTCTGTGCCAACATCGCATCCAATACGGTAGCAAGATCCTAATTTAGCTAGCAATTCAATAGGAAAATAAGCATCGTGTGCTGCAAGCTTTAAGGCTAAAAGAAAATTATCCAATCACATTTAACATGTGTCTTTATAGGAGAAATACGATTGGACAATTTTCTTTATGATACGTTTATACGACTATGCAAGTTTGTGTGGATATACCCTAAGAGAGAAGCACAATTCTTATAACGCGTAACACATAAGATCCAACCAATCAGAATTTTTTATTTCATGGAAAGGAAGGAACGGAAGGACTTTGATTACATTTTCTCATGCATGAAGCCAGTTCTACATTAGTTGCAAGCCGATCGCAAGTTTATTGCGACAGCCAATATGAACTGTTGATTTCAAAATGCAAGCTTCAGATTGGCTGTTGCAACAAAGAAAATCATCCAATCGTATTTTACGTTTGTCTTTATGATAGAAATGTTGGATAATTTTCTTTATGCATATGGTTGTGCGGCTATGGTTGTGATCTCGCTACAAATGCTTTGAAGCATTTGATGGACCAATTAGAAAAAAGAATTTTACAAACTGACCAATTAAAAAACATTTCAAAGCGTTTGTAGCATCGCGTTGACCCTACGCAAGTTTGTGGAATGACTTAAAAATCAATCGCTCGATGAGCAAGCTGCATTCCGAAAAAAAGGTGTTGCAACTTTTTTGTGATCGGCTGTACCATTCCCAAGAATGCGCAGTAGAGAGTGAATTGAGGTCAAATTTGATTGGCTATTTCAAAATATCAGCACTATTACGCAGGAAAGTGCATAGAGACCAAAATTTGTATTGGCTGTTTCCAATATTGCTATCATTAGGTCTATTCGCGTTGCATAAAATCCCCAAATGTTTTTGCACTTAAAATGAGATAGATATGTATTTTGCTTTGAGAAGAGAGAAAACGAAGATGTCGAATGTCAAAAGTGCAAGTAACGCGAACAGATCTATTATGCCTAATGGTACACCTTTGATTCGTTCGGAGGGACACTATTAGCAGCACTACTTCTATCATTTATTAGACGTAAAACAAGGATAGAATGACACAATAGGCGGTAGTAGCGTCTCCCCGAATGCATCTCTTGTATTCTTATACCATGATTCGAGCTATCGTTTCGTTTCACGTGTCATATCGCGAGAATCTTCTTATCAGAAAGTATATACATATACGCGTATGTATGTGCATGCATGATGTACATACACTGGTGTATATTTTCGGAAGACTGTGGTAGACGTCCCCGACACTTGGTTGTTCGTAGTCGTTCGTCGACTACTCGCGACTACTATTCGTCGATCGTCATTGACGGACGTCTGCGAGTAGGGCCTAACCCCCCCTGCACACTCGTGTTCGAAAAGGTCTTCGTCGGCGGCTCTATCATGGGACTTTGAAAAGCGTCGAGTTGACGTGTCTCGGTTAAAGCATTGGTACGAACACTACGAACTCGCGCGGCACTGAAACGCTGAAGCGCTTGAGCGTAAGCCGTGATGTGAATGCATGCTAATGTGTTGATACTCACCTATCGCGGAATTACATAATGTATATGCATGAGTCACGATTTGTCACACGGTGTCAACTGTGCGGCAAGAAGGGGGAGGGGACGAACGTGACGTGCAAATGTCAAAGTCATACGGCGCAACCAGGCGTAACCAGTAACATCACCTCATCGTTATATGATAAATAAAAATCGTCAACTCGTTTCCTCTCTCCAAAAACTAGCTTCCGCATCGTTCGCATCGTTTGCACTCGTAATTAACATTGAGATCTTTTGGCTTAATATGTTTATATCCCGTTAGAAATTGATTATTATCTCTTTCCATGTCTTTTGATTGTGCGATGCGCTGCCATTAGAAGTTATAAGTCTCTCGAAGAATACGTTCGATTTTCAACTTGTAAAACATTGACATTGTCTTTGTATATTTATTATATTATCTTATTATATTATCGTGCTAATAATTGTGTTCGTATTCGTAATCGTAGAATCTTTTAGCGTTAAACAACTTAATAATCGTAAAAATATACTTCAATAATGCTCCTCCCTCTAGATTGTTCTGTATATAATATAAAATTAAATAACAAGAGTAATTCAATGTGTGTGCTTTCTAAAATTAATTGCATTCGAATCAAATCTTATATGATTATTTGTGTGAATTATAGTTGTTGTAAATCTTGCAGGAAATTCCAAGGAACTTTCTAGAATGAACAGAGAATATTCTTTTTGAATGTTGTCAAAGTCATTGTAAGCAATGATACAAACAAGACTTCTTGCATCTGTGGGTGACATTTCTTAGCTATTAAAACATTTGTATATCTTTTTATATCAAATTCAACGATTATTTATTTGCATTTTGGCATTGAGAAATGCCAGCACCATCCCCGACCCTCTCTAGCTTGCCAGAAATACCTATGTGTGAGAAAACGGAAGCCAATGATACCGATTCTCTGCCCCCTTGGGCCAAAATCACACTTACATCTGCAGAAGCTGAAATCGAAAAGCTGATCTCACGAAATGAGTTGAAAGACGCAGAAGTAACTTACTTCTGTCAAGTAGAACCAATTCTTCAAGATGGACCACAGTGAGTATTATTTTAATGTATTTAGTGAGTTAAATTTCTTGTCAGAAATATTAATTAAAATATTATGTAATTCTTTTATTTTAAAAAAGGATGTAATTTTTTTTCTTATTTGCAATTGTATCAATTCTATTTCATAATTATAATACATTTAGTTTACATTTAATTAATATTTTTGTACTTTTCGAAATTGTAAAGTATTGTATTAAATTAGTATTAAATTTTAATAATTGTTAAGTATTAAATGCTTTATAGGTGCGGTTTAGTGGCGCTTTCTATGGCATCGCAAGAATACACAAAACCAGTTTCTGTAAATCAACTTCTCGCTGAAGCTCGTGTACGAGGATTTACACAGCATGGAGAAGTATACAGTGTCGATTTTATGGGGACATTGGCTGCGGAATATTTACCTGATCATAAACCAGATATTTTAGTAGATTTACAACAGTGTCCAGACACATTAACTCATGCTTTAGCACATGGAGCAATGGTGCTGATACCATATGATTCTGACTTCAATCACGCTCCATGTTTAAAAAAAGGTCATAAAGCGCATTGGGCATTGCTTGTGGGTCTAATCTCTTCCAGGTATAATTTATAATTGAGGGACTTCATGATATACTCTACCTAAACTTCAGATTGGATTTTTTCTATTTTTCTTTGGAAAACATTTATTATAGGGATGCATCGGATATCCGAAAAGTATCGATATCCAGTATCATCCGGCACTTTTTTATCATCTAACCGGATAGAGATGAGAGAAAATAAAAATATTAAAATAATTTCATCAGATGATGAATCTAGTTCAAGCGAAAAAATTAATGTAAATAAGAAAGATAATAAGGATAAGAAAATAATTAAAGCAGGTGAAAATAAAATTAACGATAATGAAGAATTAATTTAATTAGATGATACAAACGAGGAAACGATTTTTATTTAGATCATCACCAATCTCTAAAGTTGAGAACAACCTAAAATCAAATAAAAGTAATGAGGTAAAGAGTAACAAGTTAGTAAATGAGAAAATAAAAAAAAAGAAATGTACTATCCGATCGGATAGCCGGATATCATTAGTATTCAGGAATATATCTGGTTGAAATTTTATATTGATCTTTTATTATATAAATGTTTTATAAATAAGTATATATATTTATAATGTTATAATATCTTATATATTGTTGCAAAATTTTTTTCTCTACAGTCTTTTTTTAGAAGACGTCCTAAAATCTAATCGAATATGCGGAAAAAATCGGATATTAGACTCGGAAAATTGTCTTCCCGGATATTCGATGTTATATTCTTTTCAGATATCCGATATCCGGTATCCGGTAATTTTACGATCTGATGCATCCCCAATTTATTATATATAAAGAAAGCATGTCAGTTTTCTATTAAATGTATTAATTCAGTTACTTTCAGTTATTAATTTTATTGCTATACACACACACACACCATAATTTTATTATATATATATTAATTTTTTTTCATTTTCATTAAAATTTATTTATTTGCTTTTTTAAAGTGTATTTTAAAGTGAACAGAAAAAAATTATTATGATGTTAATATTTTTAGACAGGGATATCACGTTCTGGCACGTCACGGTAAATCGCGTCACTTGGCTTGTTGGCCTTTACGCGATTTGATTGAAAGTAATGGCAACTTGGAGGAAGAGGGTACAACGAGATATGCAGGAGGATATGTTATACCAAAGGGTGGTGTTGGAGGTCAAAAAGGCTTACGCGGCAGAGCATTGGCATTACATCCGTACATATAGAATTATATCGAAGAAAATTATAGGTAATTGATTTCATGCTAAAAAAGAAAATTTGCCGATACTCTATATCCACTTGTGCTAAATATTCGAAACATAACATTTGCATACAATACACACGGCTTCCATAAGAATCACTAATAATTATGTATTATAATATGCGACGCTTTACATTTAAATTTGTGCGAAATATTTTACGTAATGTTAGTCATGACATCTACCAAAAAAGCGTTCGGTATTGGAGATGCAATTCTAAGTGGCATTATTTTCGTTTTATTGGAATTATGCGATGTAAATAAAAATTCCGGCAGGCCGAAATATGTGCACGTAAAATATAAATGCAGACAATTGTCTCTTGACAGTATTATATCCTATTAGATTGAAATGCAAAAGTGTATGCATACACATTTAAAGTAAAAATGAGATACATAAAAATGTTCACATAAGTAAATATATATGCATATACATATGTGTGTACATGCGTGCGTGTGCGTATGTGTGTATGTAGCAAGTTATCAAAAGTGATAATTCAGAAGGCAAGATCTAAGTATGTTTCTTTAGATAGAGTATGTGTAGGTTTTCAACAACAATTGTGGTTTCCGTCTTATGTTAATGCAATAAATAAAGAGTAAATCTATTATATCAATTTTTTGCTAAACTATATCTTAATTATAATAAATAATGGCATGCTGTATTAGCTTTAATATAAAACTTTTAAATATTTAGATATATATACACAGCGTGTTTGATTTAAGTTAATTAACAGTTGTATATCTCTAACTAGTAGAGATATAAAAAAATATCTTATATAAAAAATTTATATATATATATATATAGATAGCAAAGTGCAGTATTATATGGTTTTTCATTGTGTTAAAAAAGCGTATTGCTCGATTGGAATTTTATTATTTCTTTTTTAAAATTATATCCTGATATTTTAATATTTATTTATTGCTGTATAAAATTTAAGTATATTTCTTTTAAATACACCTACACAAACACACACACACAAACACACACACACACACACACACACACACACACATACACAAAATAAAAGACTTAAAAAAATACTCACATGACTGGCTGGGCTTTTCAGTCATACGAAGAGATATTTCATACATTTTATATAAAATCAGTCAGTATGATACTCATAATAATGAAATAAATTAAAGAGATGCTATAAATTTGTAGATTTGGTACAGCTTCAAATTAATCAAAAGAAGCCTTTAAAATAAATTCTACCTAAGTGCCGTGAAAAGACCGAAGTCCGTTTATATATATATAAGAAATGTGCACTGCATCAATATACATGCCCAATTTTTAAGCTTCTCCTATTTATCATTATGCATCATAATCAAAACATTCTATAAAAATATTTATTCACGTGATGAGACATAAACCTTTCTTTTTGTATTTCATATTTCAGACAATACAAGTGATTAAAAGTTGTTTAAAAAAACGTTTTCCTAATAACTGTATATCTGTTAAATATTTGTGTTATCTCGATAGTATCGAAATAAATATCTTCTTTTACTAGATTTATCAATATAAACGCGGTAAAAGTATAAGAGAATAATGTCTTCCGTTACCATCGCGATACAGTCTTTACATAAATTTTTCGCAAAATAGACAAGAAAAAATATATATAACTATATAATCATATGCTTTAAATGGATAATCTATTAAAGATTACAATGACTTCTGTGTCAAATAATTATAAAAATATACCACCCTTTTTATTGAGCTAGTAATTTTAAAAATAATTATAGCTATATATCGTGTAGAATGCAATATTTATAATTATGTGTTGATTATTGTTAATGTTTAATACGTTCGTATTTATGTTATTTATTGATAGTTTTTCTTTTTAATTTAAAATTGAAAAAATAAATTTGTATAATTTGTATCAAGCAAAGTGACTGTATCGGATGTAATTGGTGCTATGCTCGAAAGTGAGAACGATTTCTACGTCTTTCTGGATCATGTTTTATAAAAAAATTTGATTTCCGAGTTATGAAATTAATGTGCAACGATTAAACCTAAGAATCTCTGCTTATAGAGTACATCAGTAATAATAAATGTATATATTATGTGACAAAATATATTAAGAAATCTAATTGAATAAGAAATGTTATGTTTCAAGATTGGAAATGTTGATTGTAAATTAATTATACATGTCAGCGGTGTATTCTTATTTCATTGTTAATATACCATGTCGTTTTCTTTATATATATACATATCTTTATTATCTTTTTTATATTCCTTTCTCTTATCGTGTATCTATTTTTGCTAATATTTGAATTGAGCTATATTAATATATATCAATTTATATATCTTATAGTGGACTTATACATTATATATCTTACATTATATATCTTACAGTGGACTCTCAAAATGAGACTAATGAGAGTTCAGCGCGGTTAATGAAGCACATATATATTTGTGCTTTGTTAACCGTACTGAACTCTCGTTGGCCTTGTTTTAATTAGATTGTTGTTTTTCATCAATTTATTGTATATTGATACATGTCATGTTACATAATTCAATTTGTTTGTATCAGTTGATTTTTTTTTGTTGTGTATCATATGAGATATAGCTTAATTTATTGGTACACTTAATGGGATTTGTATTTGTATTTAAAAAATTATTAAATATATGTGTGTGTGTGTGTGTGTGTGTGTGTGTGTGTGTGTGTATAACTTCTGAAAAGTTCTATCCACATTTTTAGATTATACATGGCATATATACAATATGAAATAAAAGAAATTATTGATAATATTTTTAAACAATTTGATATTGTATAATATATATTGATAAGATTTTACTTAATTTATATATTTAAAATTTTTGTTATTATTAAAAATATCTTGGATTAAATATCCTATTTTGAGATTTGTCTTATGGTTAATTTATTTCATTTTAATTGGAGTCATCTTTAAGATTTAAAAACCACTTCTTTTATATGTATAAATGAAAACATGATATTTATATAGATCGATTTATATACTTATTTATGTAAAATTAGAATTAGAAAAATTTAATTGAAAAAACGAAATTTTAAAAGATATTTCACATTTTATTATGACATAAATCCAACCTTTTTATACACACATCTAGAAATATCAAATTAATTTTTTATTGAACATTTTTAAAACAAGATTATTCAGATCAATTCGAGTCAACAAGCATAAATATTTGTGATATACATATAATGTGATTATTATATTTAAATCTTTTCCATGATAACTATGTAAATGTAAATTAATTGGATGAAACGTGGGCTCCTTTACTCAGAAACTTTACTAATTATATAAGAAAATCTGCAATAATGTAATGTAAAGCATATATATATATATATATATTCATTCATCAAAAATATTTGGGATTTGGATAAAAAAAGCAATTAACTATGATTTGTATAAATTTATTTCAGCGGTTTTTAATATTTGACCGTTTTGATCTTAATAAACCAAATATAACTTCGAAAAGCTGTAATTCTAAATACTTCAACATTTCCTACGTTGACGATGAATCATTATTTGTATATCTATATTTAATTTATCTAATAATACATATACATATATCGAATTCGTATAAGTATACTATTCGCTCTTTCTCTCTGACATTCTTTCATTCTCAAATTATACTATTTATACTTTACTTAAATAAGATAAGAGAAGTCCAGAAGATTTGACCATACGGGAAAGTTGAATCACTTTCGCACCAAGCGCGCAATTATCAGTGCAAGTGCTTGACGCGAAATTTCAACGAAATATTTATTATAAAATTGAACTCTCCCGTATGAAATATTAAGTTTCCCGGACTCTCCTAAAAAAAGAATATAATAATATATGAATATTTTATAATATACATATTCATCTACTAATATCGACAATTTTAGACAATAATTTATCGTCAAATGTCGAGACACTTCTCTCATACATCTTTGTACATACATACACTACTATAGAACATATCGATATAAACATTTGAATAGCATTCTTAACAGCAAACAATGTATTCGTCGCCAAACACATCAAATTATTTTTTAACACTTTACACGTTTATTTTATTACGTATCCACATATTAATATTTAATAATCACACAGTAGGTACTCTGTACAAAAAAACAGACTTTCACATAGCAATGTTTCTCTTTAATTTGATTAATTAAAATTATTCCTGGATGTAATTTCAATGGAACAACATATAGAAATAATTTTGATTATTATAGACAGAAATATAGTTATCTCAGTTCTATCTATTTCGCATTAAACAGAATTTTTTCTCAATAAATCTTTTATTAACTCTTTTGTAAGAGTATTGACAACAAATTGTAATGTGTGCAATAAGATGTCTCATAGTTAAGCACAATAAAAACATTGACGGTTAACCGTTATATTTAACAATTCTTTCTTTATTTTACGAAAAGTTTCAATGTACTAGTTACTTCCTGTAATTATTATAAATTTTGAGCCGTTTGTCGATATGTTGGATAAAACTCACTGTACATGAAATAAAAATATTTTACACGACAAACCTGATAAACGTGCTAACGGTCGTTTGTAATAACATACAAACATACGCATGTATGGCATTGAAAGATAATTTAAATATTTTTCATTTTGTCCCATTATTAATGCGCATTGATTACCCAATGAAGCACTTACTCTCATATTTTTACTGGAATCCAAAATCTATCAGTATATATATATATATATATATATATATATATATATATATATATATATATATATATATATATATATATATATATATATATATATATATATATATATATATATATATATATATATATATATATATATATATATATAAAATAAATGGAAACATCATTGAATAATAATATAATATGAAATAATAGAGGAACTACTATGTGATTCATATATAAAAATGAAACCATACTATTCTATGAGTACAGAAGTTTTGCAAATATAGGCTCGATTACTCTTTTAATGTATCTTTGGTATTGCATTTACAAAATTTGGAAGCACAAAACGCTTATATAGAAAGCAGAAAACTGAAACAGATAATCTTTTTCTCTACATATTTAACCTGTGTGTGCGTGTGTGGTGCGTGCGTGTGTGTGTGTGTGTGTGTATGGAGCGCGCGCTCCATAAAACTAATTATAAGTGAATGAAAAAGAAACAATGAGAGAATTGAGTTTTGATATTATATTCTCGATTTCGAAGATTCATCTCTTCGATCTAATTTAATTTCTTTAATTTATCTATCTCTTTCGCGAATATTTATGTATGTTTGTTGTGTATTCTTTGCACAGATTGGATACATTAACATGTAATAAGTGAGAGATTTAGCATTTTTTTGGAGAAAATGCTTACAAGTTATAAAAGATTAAATGGACACGCACACAACGTGATTAAATAAGAAAAACACGACACAAAGACATTACACGAGGCACTATAAAGCAACAGATTCAAGAAAAGATTCAAATTTACGATTTTCGAGAACTTCAGGATACATATAACTTTATATATGGCAGGTTTAATTGCTTCGTTCCAGCATGAAACAAGATATTATTTTCATTGTGTATTTGATTACGTGATACACTCATATATATGCAATATGACTTTCTTCATTTTTATTTTTTTTAAATAAAAA